ATCCGGGCATCATACGACCAACGCAGGAACAACGATTTAAAGTAAGAAAGTATATAATAATTGCACGCTAAAATATTTGTGAGAAGTTCTTATAAAAAAATTTTTGTTTTTTTTTTTTTCATTTCAGACTATTATCGAATTATCAGAACGTGGTGGCATTGGTTTTGAGCCTTCTTCCTTCTGTTCAGGCTGTCTTGTACGGCGACCCATACGTTCAAAACATTGCAGCGTTTGTGATCGCTGCGTTGCACGCTTCGATCATCACTGTCCTTGGGTAGGCAATTGCATTGGACTTAAAAATCACGCTTATTTCATGGGTTTCCTCTGGATGTTACTCATAATGTGCGGTTGGATGTTATACGGCGGCGCCTGTTATTATATCTATCAATGCAATGTGCATTTAACTCTCGTACCGCTTGAGGATTTTGAGAAAGCCATCAGTGACATAGCCAATTGCAATCCATGGGTTGGCTGGGTTATGGCTAATGCATTACTACATCTCTCATGGGTTGTGTTGCTGACAATATGCCAGACATATCAAGTCGTATGCCTAGGAATGACAACAAATGAGCGCATGAATCGTGGACGGTATCGACATTTTCAAGCGAAAGGCGGACAAAGTCCTTTTACACGTGGGCCAATCAACAATTTCTTCGACTTCTTACAATGCAGCTGTTTTGGTTTGGTACAACCACGTCGCATCGATTGGATGAACTACTACGATTTAGATATGCAGGTGGGTCGTACAACTGTGGAACAAGAGCCATTATTGCGTGGTAATGCTGATGGCGAAGGTGGTGGCACAGAGCTGGCACACTATCAGTATGTGTAGGATAAGTCGAATCGGGATGCGGAGACGCGCAATGCACCCATAGCAAATGTGTAGGCAAAACGGCAGGGCTGCAAAGTATACAATCAATGGCATTTTTTTTCAAGTGCATTATTTAAAAGGAAGTAGTCAAGTAAATGAATAGTATGACTAAGTGCCTCTTTTACAGTACGGGTTTTAACTCAAATTCGGCTGTTAACTTTCAATTTTTGTACTAAAAACCAGTAGTTAACAGCCGAATGAGAGTTGACTCGTCACTGTAAAAACGGCCCTAAGTGGCTTAGTCGTGATGACGCTTCTAAAGTATGTACGTTGTTACAAGGCCAACCCTTAGTCTTGAATAATTGAAAGTAATAAGCCACAAAAAGCATTTGCTAAACGCATTAACCTTTCACTGTATTATATGTAAACCTAGTTATTATAATTTATAAGATTAATTACGCTTAGGTGGAAAATACGTGAACAAATTTTGAATAAATTTCACTACGATGTGCATCGTAAGTACGTAGTTGTATTTGTATTGTATTTATTTTACCACAACTGTAATTATTAGTGCTTACACTTTTTTATTCATATTGATTGCCAATCTTAAAAGCTTTAGATAACAAGCATATTTCTTTTATTTCTGCGCATACATTGTACATGTATAATAGTGAGCTTTTTAAGTTAAGGTTAGACTGTTTTATTATTTCCGACATAATGAATATGCTGTCTAACATGTGAACTCAGTTAAAAATTTAGCGAACATTTATTCTTATAGCAAGATCAGAACGACGTTTGCATAAATATTTATGCATGGAAAAGTGTAATGCATTTGCAGTTTGGGTAGCCGTCTGTGTGGTCAAAGTAAACCGATTCATGTTAGCACAAAGATATTGTGTGCATTGGGAATGACATTAGAAATATAGTAAATTATTTGTTAAGCAAATACATATGTATGTATGTATTTTTTTCTAAAACTTCTTGGTGTCATAAGTGCTAATTAAATATAGTACATACATAAATACAAAGATATTAATAAAGTTTAAAGTGTTGTTTGCCGTTGGAAAATGTGGTTTAAAACGGAGGCTTAGTTGAACTGTTTGCAACAAAATGTTATTTCCTTTTTTGATTTTTCTTAAACTTAAATCTTTCTGTGTAAAACAATTTTTAAAAAGTGTGAAAATTCAAAATTGTTTCTAATTTATAGTTGCATTCAAATAACAACAAATTTTGATATATACTGTACCTAACTTAAAATACTAATCAGCAGTACTTATAGATGATGGTTAAGTCACTTTTCCAACGCAAGCTACTGCTTTAATTTATTTAAAATTCAATATTCGTTAGGAAAAAAGACATAAACCCGTATGAACAAATGAAAACAAACATACTAATGTTGTAATTATATACATACATACATAAAAGCAAAGCAGAAATACCAATTCTAAATAGACAAAAAAAGCAATGTTCGTAATATTTGTACTAAGAAAGAGCAATTTACTAGCACAGAGTCTAAGCTCCTTAATAAAAACTAACTTTTACATAAAAAGGATATATATTTCAAGAAAAATTCGTTTGATTTTTACGTTTATAAAATTTAGTTATGTATTTTTAATGATTTTTAGAGGCCTTAATACTAAAAGAAATATTTACGCCATTTAAAAAATTGCTACAAAATTTTAAATAAATTTAAGCTATTTTAAAATCGATTGGCTTCTACTTTCGAAAGCTTGTTTTGTTTTTGCGGCGTAAAAATGCCGATGCGATAATTCAAATGAAATTTCTTTCAAAGTTAAATTTTTAAACTGGCATTTATAATAACTTTAATGCATATTTGTTAGTATAAAAGCAAAAATTTCAATGAACGATGCAAACACGCACATTAGTGTTGTTACTTTTTTTGCAAGGAAAACATTAAGATTAAAAAAAATACGGCGCTTTTAGATGCGTGAAAAATTTGGAATAAAAGATCTAAATTTATTAACTTTTTTTTGTAATAAGTATGTAATAGCGCGTCCATGCATGTTACCCACCAAGAAAAATCAGTTTGATTGATGGTCGTCGTCGGCAAAGTGGCGGAAGTAAAAGTAAAATAAATGTAGTACATAAAATTTTTAGCAATAATAGTAACAGTGGTAACAAAAAGCCAACAAATAGCTATAGTAAATTCTAAAAGTGCACAAACTTTGATTGTTAATTAATTTTTTTTATTCAGCACCAGCATATGCTGCTTTCAATTTTCTCTGCACTGTAAAATAATTGATTCCCACCAAAACAATGCATCGATGATTTCTAAATAAATTAAAAACAAAATCTGCAAGAAATAAAAAACGTCTAGTAGCAGTAGAAAAACCTCTATTTAGTCCGTGCGAAATTTTAATTTTTGTATTTTATTTGATTATAAAATAAAGCTTCTTTTCAGTTAATGCGTATTTTGAAGCTTAGCCTAAAACCAAAAATTAAAATAAAGGACAAACGAAAAAGCAACATAAAAGCATTGAAATTAAAAAAGGAAGA